TGTTCAGCGAGCACGAGATGGCGGACGCGTCCGAGGCGTTGGAGGCGATTTTCCACGCCGTGCACCGCGCGCTGGCGCCGAAACACGGCGGCGCGCGCGCGCGCCGCGCCGTCTCGCCGATCAAGTCGAACAGTCCGGGCCGCGGCTTGTTCCTCGACCAAGAGTGCGGGTACCGATCCATCGTCCACGAGTGCTTCGGGATGGACGTGGAGGAGTACATGGCGTGCGGCGAGTGCGGCATCCGGAGCCGGACGCTGCGGTACACCAAGTTCACGCACCTCGTTCCCGCGACGGCGCTCGTGCTGGCGATGGAGCACGCGGAGGGCGTCATCACGATGGAGGACGCGATGCGGCACATCGACGGGTCGGATGCCAAGGCGTGCGACCGCGACGTCGGCGGGTGCGGCGTCATGAACAGCATCAAGCACGCGCTCGGCGGCGCCGGCGGCGGCGACGCGGCGCCGCGGATGTTTTGCCTCGGGCTCGCCTGGGATTCCGCGAGCGTGGAGAAGGAGCAGATCGTCGCGACGTTGCGGCACGTCTCCACGACCTTGGACCTCGGGCAGGTGTACGAGCGCGTGCCGAAGACGACGCCCGCGTACGCGTTGCGGTGCGTGATGTGCTACTACGGCGAGCACTACGCCGCGTTCGCGCGGGCGGACGACGACGACGACGCCGACGCGAACGACGGCGGGAGGTGGCGGTCCTTCGACGACGCGACGACGAAGGAGGTTGGAGGATGGGACGACGTTGTTCGCGCGTGCGAGAAGGGGAGGCTGCAGCCGTGCGTTTTGTTCTACCAGCGCGGGGACGCGGCGGGCGCGGCGGGGAAGTGAGCGGCGAATTTAATTCGCCGGTATTACACTCGCAAAAAATTCGCCGGTGAATTCGCCGGGAAGTGAGAGACGACGAGGGAAGAGAAGAGAAGAGAAGAGGGGGAATGGAACGAACGGACGCGAGGACGACGGCGAACGGACGAATCGGGAGGAGATAGAAGAGAACGATTTGAAGACGAATTGTACGATAATACGACTACTAACGAATACAACAGAGACTCTTACGTCGCGCGCTCACAACCTCACATCGATTTCGCGTCTCTGTGAGAACAACAAGAGCGAGCCGCGCGTCAGTGTCGACTTCGACGGATACTACACGGCGGATACGACGACAGATAGCCCCACACGCAGAGCTGGAAACGAAACGAAACGCGCGCGGGGCTCTATTCGTTTTCGTTCCTGGTCGCAAAGACGAGCATCTCTTGCGTCGTCATCGGCAGCTCCGCGATGTCTATCCGGACGCGCTCTTTGAATACGTTCAGATCCGGGAGCTCGAACAGAAGCGTCGGCTCTTCGATGATGGCGCACATGCAGCTCTCGTCCGTCTCTTTCGGGTACACGCGCTTGATGCAATCGATCGTCCGCTCCACGCGTTCGGTCAGATCGTCGCAGTACAACAGCCTCGGCGCCTCCGATATCATCGACGGCACCTTCCCTTTGGGAAACACGTCCGCCATGGCGATCATCCGCTCGACGTTCACGCCGATGTCCGTCGCCATCACTCTCGCGTCCGTCGCGACCATGCTCTTCACGTCCACGCCCGGTAACGTGCGAACGAGCCGGTCGTATTTCACCGCGAGAAGCTCGACGTCGTGGTAGACGGAGTCGATTTCCACGAGCGTCCTCGAGACGCGCTCCGCCTCCCACTGCCGCATGCCTTTGCCCTGGAAGAAGAGCTGCACGCGCGCCATGTCGATCGCGAGGTTCCCGGTCAGCCCGCTCTCGACGCCGTCGGGCGCGCGCAGGAACGACGCGGTGAGCTCCGCGCGCGCTTGCTCGCCCGCCATGCGCGTCGCTTCCTCGAGGAGTTCTCGACACTCGCGGATCGCCTCGCGGAGTTCCTCGTCGCTGACGCGCTGCTCGCCGTCGCGCGGGGCGTCGCCGTTCCCCGCGCGGCGCGTCGCGCGCGCGCCGCGGCGCCGCGGCGTCGCGCTCGCGCGGCGGCGCGACGCGAGGGGGAACGACGACGGCGATCGCGACGAGGACGCGGCGCACGTCGTCATCGTCAGCGCGCGCGAAAACGTCATCGCGCGGCTCGTCGCCGCGCTCGTCTTCGCCGGCCGCGTCGCCGTCGCCACGCCGTCGCCTCCGCGTCGCGTCGCTCGACGCCACGGGTCGCCGCTCGATTCACGACCGGTCTCGCGCGACGCGCCCCGCGAGCGTTCGACGCGGGCGGCGCGGCGCGACGAGTGCGCGACGCGACGTCGCGCGCTTCCTCGGAGCCATCGATGCCAGCTGGCAACCCGCTCGCGCGGTCGGCCGACGCGACGTCAACATCAGATCGAGCGCGAGCGTCGGCGCGCGGCCATTGCCTGCGACGCGCGCGCGCTCGTCGACAGTCGATCGCCGCTCCCGCCCGTCCGCGTTCGCGTTCGCGGCGTCCGCGCCCCGCGCGTCGTTTCGGCTCCGTCGAGCGGTCTCCCCGGTCGCGCGCGCGCGCGCGAGAACGGTCGCGGCGTCGCGCCGTCCGAGAGGAATAATGGCCTCCTCCGCGGGCGTCCGCCGCACGAACTCGTCCTACTTCGAGGGCGCGCCGAAGCAGCAGTACCCCACGAGCGCGTCGGACTACGTCGTGCACGAAGAGATCGGCCGCGGCGTGAGCGCGAAGGTGTACCGCGCGGAGTGTCTTCCGCTCGGGGAGACGGTCGCGGTGAAGATGCTCGACCTCGAGGACCAAGACCCGGGGCACCTCGAGGAGATCCGCAGGGAGGTGGCGTCCATGTCCATGGTGTCGCATCCGAACCTCGTGATCTCGCACTGCTCGTTCGTGGAGGGGCAGTACCTCTGGGTCGTCATGCCGTTCCTCAGCGGCGGCAGCGCGCTGAACATCATGAAGTGGTCGCACCCGAAAGGCCTGGACGAGGTCAGCATCGCGACGATCTTAAAAGAAGTCCTGAAAGCCCTGGATTACTTTCACAGGAACGGGAACATCCACCGGGACATCAAAGCCGGGAACATCTTGATCGATAACAACGGCGCCGTGAAGATCGGCGACTTTGGCGTCTCCGCCGCGTCCTGGGGCTCGGGCGCGAAGCCGCACAGCACGTTCGTGGGGACGCCGTGTTGGATGGCGCCCGAGGTGATGGAGCAAGTCACCGGGTACGACTCCTCCGCGGACATCTGGTCGTTGGGGATCACGGTGTTAGAGCTGTGCCACGGGCACGCGCCGTTCGCGAAGTATCCGCCGATGAAGGTGCTTCTGATGACGCTGCAAAACCCGCCGCCGCAGTTGGAGGCGGAGCAAGCGGAGAGCGGGCATCACTTCTCGCGCGCGCTCCGAGATTTCGTCTCGGTGTGCCTCCAAAAAGACCCGAAGAGGCGGCCGACGGCGGCGAAGCTTCTCGAGCACCGGTTCATAAAAGAAGCGAAGAAGCCGGACTTCCTCGTGAAACACCTCCTCGAGGGGATCCCCGCGCTCGGCGAGCGGACCGCGGAGCTCAACGCCAGGGAGAAGGCTCGCCAGGCGGAACGCGCCGCCGCTGTCGCCGCGGGCAACCTCAAGGGCGCCGCCGCGACGGACGCGGCGGCGGAGAAGAAGTCGCAGGCGGAGTACCTCAAGGGCGTGACGTCGTGGAACTTCAACATGGACGAGATCCGCGCGGAGGCTGCGGCGATGAGCGACGACTTCGGCGGCAAGCCGCCGCTGCCGGCGGTCGCGGAGGGGCAGCCGGCGGCGCCGGCCGCCGGGACGGGGAGCCGGCCGGGGAGTCGGCCGCTGTCGCCGACGCCGGGGTCGCCGAGGGGCGACGGAGAAGGGCTGAAGAAGCAAACCTCCGTGCAGAAAGGGCGCTTCACGGTGATGGACGACGACGCGGCGCCGATGGAGAGCGACGGCGGCGGCGGCGGCGGCGGCGGAGGCGACGCCGCCGAGCCCTCCATCAAGAAGTCCACCTCGGTGCAAAAAGGTCGGTTCACCGTCGTGGACGAGGGCGAGGACGCGCGCGGAGGATCGTCGCACGGCGGCGGCGACGGCAGCAGCACGATCGTGGGCGCGAGCGAGCCGGATCCGGCGTCGATCGCGGCCGCGGCGAAGGCTGCCGCGGCTGCGGAGAGGGATCTGGACCCGCCGAAGTTGAAAGTCCGCGGGCTGTTCGAAGCCTCGGAGGCGGCGCGAGAGCACGCGGGGAAGCTCGCGTCGCTGCACGAGCACTTCGAGGAGCAGCAAGAGAAGATCAAGACGCTGGTGGACGATAACCGGTGGTTGCGGCGGCGGGTCGCGGAGTTGGAGGCGAGACTCGCGCAGTGACGCTCATCGCGTTGGCGAGCGATGGATACGCCGTTCATTCTGCTACGCTACGCTAATCATCGATCGTCGTCGGCGCTACCCCGGCTCCGCGTTCGCGTTCTTCGGGGAAACGAAAAGTCGCCCTCGCCCCCGTCGTCGTCGCTCGCTAATCCTCCGGTATCATGTCGTACGAGAACCCGTCCACGCGGAAGTACGTCGCGACGAGAATCATGGTCGCGAACGCCCCCGGGGCGAACGTTATGCACCCTAGAATCAATATCGCCTTCGACGTCCCTCTCGTCTCGTTGTCCGGCAGGTCTAAGCGTCCGAAGTACCACAGGAGGTAGCAAAACAGCAGGACCGTCCCCGAGATCAGCAGCGCGAACGCGAGCGCGACCGTCTTGATCGACGGCTTCTTCTTCTTCGGGTCTAAGTGCTCCGGGATCGTGAACCGCGGGTCGTAGTCGCCTCGGTGGTCCGCGTCCGCGTCCGCCGCGGGTTGATACCGGCGCCGCACGGCGGAGGACATCTCTTTCGCTTCCTCCTCCTTCGCGCGCGCCGATCGACGACCGACGAGCGCGGCACCCGAAAGGCGCGCGGACGACGGCGACCGCGGTCAACGCGCGCGCGCTGGACGACGCGCGCTGCGGGGTCGCGGTCGCGTCGAGTCGGCGGTCGCGACGTGGGACGCCGGGAGGTTCACGCGCGGCGCGCCGGCGCGAGTGCGCGGCCGGACGCGTCGTCGTCGTTGACGAGGAGGATGCCGCGAAAACGAAGTGACGCATCCGTCGCGAACGCGAACGGGCGCGATCGATAGATCTCGGCAGTTTATTGAAGAACCACAACGAATCGCACGCCGCCGCCGCTCATCATGCCCGCGACGCCGAAGAAAACGCCAAAATCCCCGGCGAGGACGCCGAAGAAGAAGCAGGAAGCCGCCGCGAAGGCCGACGACGACGCGAAGCCAGCGTCGACTTCGCCGCCCGCGTCGCCGAAAGGGAAGAAAGCGGGGCACGATAATACCCCCATCAACTTGGCGTACTTCAAGCGCTTACTTCGCATCACGGTGCCGATGCTCTTCATCGTCGGCATCCTTCGACGCGTCGCGGTCCCGGTGCCGATAGCCGGCGAGGTGTGGCTCTACGAGAAACTCTTCGAGGGATCGACGCACCCGTACGTGCTCAGCCAAAGAGCGAAGCAAGCGGCGAAGCGCGAGGAATACCGAGAGGAATCGCGCTGGAAGACGCCGCTGATATTCGCCACGAGCGAAGGCGACAAGGACAAGATGAACGCGCTCATCGCCGAAGGGCACAACGTGAACGAGCGGAACGAGTTCGGGGAGACGCCGCTGCACGTCGCCGGCATCGCGGGCGACGCTTCCATCGTCGCAACGCTGATCGACGCCGGCGCGGATGTAAACGCGAGGACGAAAGGCGGGGACTCGCTGAAGATGACGCCGACGCACTGGATGGTGTACGGCCGACACGTCGACGGTTTAAAAGCGCTCATCGTCGGCGGCGCGGACGTGAACTTGCTGAACACGGAAGGGAAGACGCCGACGGACATGGTCTTGGAATTCATGCGCGCGGAGAGGAAAGCGGCGGCGAAGAGGGCGAAGGAAACCGGCGAGGAGGCGACGAAAGAAAACTCGCACGAGCCGTCCACGGTCGAGATCCTGAACATTCTCGCGGCCGCGGGAGGGAAGACCGCGAAGCAGATGCCGGACGTCAAGGCGCCGAGCAAGCACGACGAGCTGTGAGACGACGCGCGTCGACCCCGCCCCGCGCGTATCTTCCGTGAACTTGAATCTTATTACACTCGTAATAACAACTTATTGATGAATAAAAAGGAAAAATTAACAACCTTCTCAGCGCGGCGGCTCTCTCGGACGTGACGTTCGCGCGCTTCTTCATCTCTCCTTCTCACTTCGTCGTGCAGCACCCCGCCTTGGTCTCCGTCTCCGACGACGTCTTATTCCCGCAGAAGATCGTGCTGCAGCCGCCGCACATGCACCAGAAGAACCCGCACCCGCCGACGCACGCCTTGGTCGGGCCGAGGCACCCGTCGGCTTCCCTCACGTCCAGCACTAAATCCGTCGTCGTCGTCCTGTCGCAGACGTCGACGGAGTTGAACCGATCCGCGAAGTCTTTGTACTCCATCCAGAACGAGCCGTCGTCGCTGTCTTCGTACTCGAGCTCTTTCTTGATCTTCGGATGATCGTCCCATTCTCTGCTGCCGTCCGACCACGCGCCTTTCCACTCGAACGTCCCCCACGGGTTCCGGAGCTTGATCATCTTGCGTCCGCCGGTGCGCACCATCGACGTGCCGACTCTTCGCACGTCGAGGATCGAGTACTGATGCCCGGCGACGAGGCCTTCACTGTTCTTCTCCTCGCGCTCCGCGCCGCTGACCATCCTCGCCGCGCCGAGGACGGCCCCCTTGGACGAGTACTTCAGGAGGACGCCGAAGAAGTCTTCTTCGTCGATCTCGTCGTCGTTGGGGAGATACCCGACGTCGCACCGCGCTTCGAGGCCTTTCTTCTTGTTGAGGAACACGAGGTCGCGCCGTATCCACGATCCGTTCGGGCGCTTCTTGAAGTCGTACACGTTATCCCCCGTCATCGCGTGCCACGCCCACACGGCGAGGCCGCCGTCCAGCGCGCCGTACGAGCCAACGAACTTCGCGAAAGCCTTCTCCAACAAGATCGCCCACAGCTCGCAGCCGTTCGGGTGCATGAACACCGTCTCTTTCGTCCCAGCCTTGACTGGAATGCGATCGTCCACGGTGACGGTGACCCACTTCCCGACGCGACCGTCCCACAGTCGCACGTGGTACTTCCCGACGTCGTTGTATTCACACTCGCGGAAGACTTTTCGAATCGCGCCCGGGTATTCCGCGAGGCACGCGAGACCGGCGACGAGCCAACAGTCCCCGAGCGCGCCCTGACATAAATCTTCCGGCTCGATCCCGTGGAACAGCGCGATGTGCTTCACCTCGTCGTCCTTCGCGACGATGTCGAGCTCGTCCGCGCGAACCCAATCGACGTCGATGCGCTTCTCCCCGAGCGCGCGCTGCCCGGTGAATTCCTTGTCTTCGTAATAGTAGCACCCGCACGCGCGGCACAGGCAGCAAAAGATGGGCCCGAGCGCGCACCGCGCGCCGCGCATGACGTAGATGCCGATGCACGGGAGGAGGTACACGCGGATCGCGTTCCACAGGAGGATGAACGGCCATAAGAGGCACAGCCTGCGAAGGAAACGGAAGGTTAGGCTCGCGTCGTCAGCGCGAATCGCGATATTTCCATTTCCATTTCGATTCGAAGCGGTCGAGGCGAGGCGAGGCGAGGCGAGGCGCGCGACGATCGACGCACCAGACCGGGTGCGCGATCCCCTGGCAGATCTTCCCGCACTGCGTCAGCGTCGGGGGCTTGTCCACGAGGTACGCCTTCGCTTTCGTGAGACCCATCGCGCGCGGAGGAGGGCGAAGAAGCGCGGCCACCGCGTCCAAGGAAGTGACAGCTCGTCGAGCAGCGCTGACTGGACGGCGTTTCGCTCGCGCGCGCGTGGTCGGACGCAGCGCAGACGCAGCGCGGCGAACACGGCGCTGAGTGGTCGAGACGAAAGCCCTACCCCCCGCGCGCGCCCCCGCACTGCCGAGCGTCGCGACCACGCTCGCGCGCGCTCACGGCTGTCCCACGGACGCGCACACACCGAGACGCGACCGCCCGCGGCGTCGCGCGCGCGATCGAATCGACGCGCGCGGCGCGATCGCGGCGTCAAAGTCGCGTCCGTCGCGAGAGGCATCGCGTGCGCGATCGCTCGATTCGCCCGTCCGCGCGGTCGGACAGGACGCGCGCGGACCGGGCGTTCGACGAAGCCGCGTCGGCGCCGCGAGCGGGATCTCGGCGCGTAGGAACGACCCGGACGCTCTCGCGAGGCCGAACATGAAGCACGACGCGAAGAAGCGCGCGCTCGAGACGGCCGCCGCGCTCGGGGACGAGCACGACCTCGAGCAGCGCCACGACCAGCACGCGAGCAAAGTCGCGAGAGTCTTCCCGACGAGCGACAACCACGGAGGTCTCGGATCGACGCCGCCGCGCAACGTCGATACCGAGGACGAGCTCGAAGGCGCGGACGGCGGCGCGCGGGCCGACGCGCTCGCGCCGGACGACGCGGCGGGGAAGCGAGACGCGGCGAAGAAGGAGGGCAAGCCCACGCGCTACAAGGGCGTGTACATCGATCGCAACGTCTCGAACAAGTGGAAATCGTCCATTCGCCTGAACCAACGCGAGGTCCACTTGGGGTACTACGAGTCCGAAGAGGAAGCGTCGAGGGCGTACGACCAGGCGTGCATCTGCGTCAAGGGCGAGACGAAGAACCACCCGATGGAGACGTACGACCGCGTGCTGATCGAGGAGCTGACCGCGATGAACAAGGACGTCGAGCTCTTGCGACGGAAAATCGGCGTCGGGCACGCGTCTCGGGACTGCTCGTCGAAGCACCGCGGCGTGTGCTTCGAGAAAAAGACGAAGAAGTGGCGCGCGGAGGTGCAGATCAACGGCAAGAAAGAATCGTTGGGGTACCACGCCGTGGAGGACGACGCCGTGCGGGCGTACGACAAGGCGTGCATCGTGTTGAAAGGGGAACGCGCGAAGACGAACCACCCTCTGGAGACGTACGCGGACGAGATGGAGCAGCTCGGGAAGTGGACGTTCGAGCAGTACCAGGGGACTCTGAAGACGAACGCGCGGAGGCACGCGTCGTGGACGTCCAAGTACCGCGGCGTGAGGCAGCACACACATAACCAGAAGCAAGGAGGGCAGTCGGTGAAGTGGCGCGCGGAGATCACGATCGACGGAAAGAAGAAGTCGCTGGGGTATCACGACACGGAGGACGCCGCGGCGCGGGCGTACGACGACGCGTTCGTGATCATGAAGGGGTGTAGGCGGGAGTTGCTCAACTTCCCGGATCGCTCGATGATCGACGTCGTCGGCGGCGCCGCGGGCGGCGCGGAGGGCGCGGAGGGCGGCGGGGCGGACCACGCGTCGTTGACCGCCGCGGGCAGAGCGTTCGGGGCGGTCGGGGCGACGACGAAGTCCGTCGGCGGCGTCAAGGGTAAGAAAGTAGCGGCCGCGGCGGCGCAAAAGGCGCAGGAGGGCGCGGTGCAGCCGGGGAACTTCATCGCGTCGCTGGAGGACCCTTGATATCGCGAAACGATTCGCGGCGCGTGGGGGCCGAACGGGGGGTTTACGCGTGCCCTGAGTGAGGGTTTCGCGTGTGTAACTGGTACGACGGGATAGTCGATACGAATACGATTTACGATTTCGATTACCCTTGAACGTCGACGCGCACTGCACGTCGACGCCGTCTCGTTCGCGCGCGCGCGTCCACGAGCTCTGAGCTACGTTCTCAGACGCGACGACGTCGACCGTCGTCGCGCGTCCCGCGCAAATTTTTCTTCACCCACCACTCGGTTTCAACATTTGATCGAGACGCCTTTTAACTGACCGATGAAAAGTTTTTAGACAAATGAAATGTTTCGCCCTCAAACGTCGGACGACTCCGCCCAAGAGTTCGGACCGATCTGCCGTCCGAGCCGCAGAGCGCACCGCACGCGCGGCCGCACCCCACGCGCGCACACGCCCGCGGCGCGCGCGCGTCGCCGAACCCTCTCCTCGCGCCGCCGCGGATGGCCGCGAGCCCGCGTCGGAGGGGCCCGCGAACGATGCGCGCCGGCGGGGCATCCCCCACGGTGTCGCTCGCGAGGCACCTTCGAACGCTGTCGCGCAGGAAAGGGTGCCTCCCCGTCCTGGCGCTCGCGCTCCTCCTCGTCGCGTCCGCGCCGATGTGGGCGGTCACCGGCGACCTCACCTCGCGCATCGGGTCCGACTGCGCGCCGCCGACGCGCGGCGCGGAGACGACGATATCGAAAACCGCCCTGCGCGAGCTCGCGTACGAGGGGGATTCCACCGTCGCGGGGGAGGACGATCGCCAGTTCACGCTGCTCTTGAACACGTTCAAACGCCGCGATCTGTTGAAACGCGCGATCAAGCACTACCTCTCCTGCGACGACGTCGGCGAGATCCGCGTGGTGTGGTCGGAGCCAGACCCGCCGCCGGACCCGACCGATCGCGACGCTCGGCTCTACTACGGCGACGACCCGAGCAAGGAGGTGCGCTACCAGCGGCACCCGACGACGTCGATTCAGAACCGGTTCGAGCCGCCGAGCGCCGGAGTGGACGGGGACGCGACGAGCGGGAAACTGAAGCACACCGCGGTGTTCAACGTCGACGAGGACGTCCGGCTGCCGTGCAAGGCGCTGACCAGAGGGTTCGACGCGTGGAGGGCGAACCGCGAGCAGCTCGTCGGGTTTTACCCGCGGAATCACGTCCGGAGCGACCGCGGGTGCGGGTATCGATACGCGTGGAACGATCTCGAGCTCTGGAGGGGCGGGGAGTTCAGCATCATCCTCACGAAAGCCGCGTTCATGCACGCGAAGTATCTGAACACGTACTCGAAAGGGCTGCCGCGAGAGGCGAGGGAGTACATCGATCGGAGGAAAAACTGCGAGGACATCGCGATGCAAATCTTGGTGACGAAGACGACGGGGATACCGCCGGTGTACAAGGCGCTGCCGATGTTTTACTACGTGTGGGCGAAGCTGGGGGGCATCGGCGTGCCGGGGATCTCGAAGAACGCGGGGCACCACGACGAGCGCGGCGCGTGCGTGACGGACTTGTCGCGCATGATCGGCGCGGAGGCGCCGGGGACGGACACGCCGTTGTTGCGCGCGCCGTTGAAGGAGTGGCGCCGGCACGCGCCCGGGTCGATCCGAGCGTGGTGGTGATTAGTAGTCGCGAATCGATGACGCGCCTCAGTCGTTAGATTTCAACCTAATTAAGGCACGACGTGGTGATACTTTACACGAGCCCGCCCCGCCTCGCCTCGCCTCTCGCCTCTCGCCTCACTGCCCCTCGCCCTCTCCCGCGGGAAGCGCGAAACCGACGGACACCGCCTCGAGCAGCGCCGACACGGACACCTTGCCCGCGCCCGAGCCCGCGTGCTTCCTCCCGAGCGTGATGATCTCCTGCGCGACGCACTCCACGCCCGCGGACTTGAACGCGTTCGCGACGTCCGCGAGCTCCACCTCGCCGTTCGAGTCCTCCGCGCCCGTGAGCGCCTCTCTGAGCGCCGCTTCCCTCCCCGCCGACGCCGCCGTCAGCCGCCCGCCCACCGCCTCCGGGTCGCTCCGCGGGAACGACTCCGGATGCTCCTCCATGAAGGCGTACGTGTAGCTGTCCGCCTCGACGAGCTCGAACGAGCGCCTGAGGACGACCACGGTCGCGCCGACGTAAAAGTCGGTCGCGACGAACGCCTCCGAGCTGTTCGGCTTGCGAACCTCCTGCCTCTCCAAAAACTTCCCCCCCGCGATGTTCTTCTTCCGGTCCGGGTTTTCGTAGATCGCGATGGTGTCGTTCGCGAGGTACACGGACAGGATGAACTCCCTGTCCGAGTCCCAGTCGCTCACCGCGTGCGTCGCGTCCGGCACGATCTTCGCTTTGAACCGCAGAATCGTGTGCGCGTACGTCATCTGCTTCTCGAAGTCTGGCTTCACAGGCTTGGGGATCAGCGCGATGCAGTTTTGAAGCGAATCCGCGTGGCCGCCGAATCCGTTGTACGGCGGGACAGCCATCTGCGGGATCGGCATCTGCTCCTCCTCGACCGAGATGGGCGGGAAGTCCGCCTCCGTTCGCCCCGCGTTCGTGATGTACCACGCCTTTGTGAAGTTATCCGCGTCGTGGATGTAAAAGTCGCGGTTGTACACGCGCACGTGTCCGCCAACCTTCAAGTCTTCAAACGTGTAGTACGAAAACGTCTTCGTCGGTCCGAGCGCATCCACCTCGAGCTTTTGGTTCGGTAACGGCCCGCGCCTCAAGAACACCGGGAACGGGTCGCGGCCGCTGTTCGGCTCGGCAACCTCTAACACCTCCACGGTGTCGTCGCTGAGGTAGTAGTGCAAGACGAACGGGCGGTTCTCGCCAAAGAGCGCCTCTCTGTCGTCCCAGACGCAGAAAAACCGCAAAACCTTGCGATCGTGCGCGAGAAACTTCTTGAGCTTGTCCGCCGCGAGCGCGTTCGACGGCGCGCCCGCGGCGGCTTCGATGTACCTGGAGAGGTCGTCATCGCGCGGTGGCGGCGGGTACGGGATCTTCGAGTCCTTCTTCATCGTCTCTCTGTACGCGTCGATGGGGTCGTCCGGGAAGCCGACGTCTTCGTTTACCTCGAAGCCCTGATCGGTCAAAAAGCCGCGCGTGAACGCGTCGCAGGACACGACGTAGAACGTTCGGCCGTACAGAGTGAGCGTGTCCGCGACGCGCACGTCCGCGCGCGTGTAAAAGTCCCCGACGTCGTTCTTCGGGATCTTGTGACGCTTGAGGAACACGCCCTGCGGGATGCCGCTGTTGTGCTGCTTCGGCTCGGCGACGTAGATGGACTCGTCCTCGAGGTACATGTAGATGACGCACTTGCGGACGCGGAAGTTCTCCGCGAGGGATTCCGTGACGGCTTCTTTGAAGAACGCGTTCCATCGGAGCACCTGCGTCGCGTTCGGGAGGACGGACGAGGACGGGTCAACAACGGTCCGGATCGAATTCGGACGCGCGGGACGGATCTAAATCAGGCGAGAACGAACGACCGCGAGGACGACGACCGGGGGCAATCGATGCGCACCTTGCGGTCGAACTGGACCCACTTCGGGAGCGTCGACATCGGATACGACGTCGGCGCCTTCGGCTCCTCCGTGGGGAACTCCATCGTCGCGGGCGCGCGCGCGATGGACGACGTCTTCTCCCCGGGCACGGCGTAGCCATTGACGTAGCAGAGCGTCTGCGCGCGCCTCGCGACCGGTTTCTGCGACGTGATCGGGTTGGCGGGGAGGGTTCGCGGTCGTCAGCGGGATGTTTCAGTTGGGGGAGTGCGAGACGCGCGACGCGATATCGCCGCGACGCGCGCGCGAAGGGTGCGCCGAGCGCGACGACCGCGTCGACGACGAATTGGCGTCCAAAACGAGACCGACGGAATTCGCCGGATCGGGAATTCGCGCCGGCATTCGCGCCGCAGAGAGAACGCGAGGGCGATCACGCGCACGCACCCGCGGATCCTGGAAGGTCATGCCAGGAAGCATAGGAACCACGGGATCGACCATGGTGACAGCCGAGGGATTCGCCCTCCGCGCGTCGATTGTAACGCGCCGGACGCCATCGCTCGGAGTTTCATCAGACTCGCGACACAGCACCCCTCCGAGATGAGCGCGAATCGAGCTGATGATGAGGCGCGTTCGATGCAAACGTTTTTCACCCATCGCTCGGTTTCAATCTTTGATCGCGTCCCCTTTCAACTAACCGATGAACTGTTTTTCGATAGGCATCGCCCTCATGTCAGAGGCGAGACTCATCAACCGACGACCAGCCACCGCGGTGCGCGTTCGCGCGCACAGCGTCGACGCGCCGAGTCGCGCGTGACGCCGCGATGGTCGTTCGCAAGGACGTCGTCGTGCTCGACTGCGGAGGGTCGAGCATCAAGGCTGGCTTCGCGGGAGACGACAAGCCCGTGTGGTGCGTCCCCGCGCGCGCGCGAGCCGACGATCGGTCGATCACCCCGGGCGGGCGCTCGAAAAAGTGCCCATCGCGCTCGAGGAATCGAGTCCGTCGTCGATCCGCCGTCCCTGACGCCCGCTCGTTCCCTCCGTCTCCATCCACAGCGTCGTCCCGAACTGCGTCGCGAAGCCCAAAGGCGAGAAGCGGTCGTACGTCTGCGACGAGATCGCGCGCATCAAAGACATCTCGTCGTTGAACCTGCGACGACCGGTCGACCGCGGGTACGTCGTCAACTGGGACCTGCAGCGAGAGATCTGGGACCACGTCTTCGCGAAGGTGCTGAAGATAAACCCGAAGAACTGCCACCTCGTGCTCCTGGAGCCGCCGTTCAACCTCCCGAACATCATGTGGGAGCAGGACGTGGTCGTGTTCGAGCGGTTTCAGTTCAAGTCCGCGCTGATTTGCAACCCCGCGACGCGCGCGTTGCACCGCGTCTTCGCCGCGGACGGCGGCGGCGGCGGCGGCGGCGAAGGCGAAGGATCGTCGTCGTTGCACGCCAAGGCGCGATGCGGCGTCGTCGTCGACGCCGGGTTCTCGTTCACGCACGCGACGCCGGTGTTCGACGGGAAGCCGATCAGGAGAGGCATCAAGCGATTAAACCTCGGCGGCAAGGCGCTGACGAATTATCTGAAGGAGCTCGTGTCGTACCGGCAGTGGAACATGATGGACGAGCAGTTCGTCTTGGAGGACGTCAAGGAGAAGACGTGCTACGCCGCCGCGGACGTGTGCGAGGAGCTCAAGAAGGCGAAAATGCGAGGCCCGTCCAACGAGGTAAACCGGGAGTACATCTTACCCGACGGCGTGCACGTGCTCAGGGGGAGCGTGAAGGAGGGACCGACGAGGGACCCGGACGCGGAGAGCTCCGACGACGACGACCCGGACGAGGGCGGCGGGGCGAGGAAGCGGAAGAAAAAGAGCGGCGGCGGCGGCGGGAAGGGAGGGAAACGCCCGTCCGTCGCGAACGGAGGCGGCGGGAAGGGCGGGTACGTCGAGCAGCTCCTCGCGATCGGGAACGAGCGGTTCATGGTCCCGGAGGCGTTGTTTCACCCCACGGACATCGGGTTGGACCAAGCCGGGATCGCGGAGCTCACGACGCAGGCGGTGAACGAGGCGAACAAAGACCTGCGGGGGATGTTGTACGGTAACATCGTCCTCACCGGCGGGTGCGCGCTGATTCCGGGGTTCAAGGAGAAGTTCGAGGCCCAGTTGCGTCCGCTCGTGAACGCGGACGACGACGTGCGCGTCGTCGTCGCGGACGGCGATCCGATTTGCGCGGCGTGGCGGGGCGCGAGCGATCTCGGCGCGAGCGACGAGTTCGATCGACTCGCGCTGACGCGGGAGGATTGGAAACGGGACCAAGCCGACATCAGACGGCGGTACGACGAGCACGTCGCGGTAGGTAAAGGGCGAGCGTGACGCGGAACGCAACGCGGGTCGTAGGTGCCGTAGCTCGCGTCGCGCCGCTCGACGCCGTTCAGTCCAAATCGCTAAAGTCCTCGATGCCGTCGCTGTCGCAGTCGGCCGCGGCGTCCTCCCCTCCCGCGTCGTCGTCGTCGTCGTCGCTCGTGACGACGTCGTCGTTCTTCTTCTCCTCCTCCTCTTCTCCTCCGGCGGATTTTGGCTCCTCCTCCTCCTCCTCCTCCTCTTCCTCGCCGCTCTCGCCCGCCGCGCCCGTTCGCTCCGCGCGCAACTCGTCGACGACGTCCTTCATCGAGACGCCTTCGCAGCCGCCGCCTGGCACCCACGTCGGCATGGACTTCATCCGTCCGCCGACGCCGCCGAACAGCTTACTCTCCCACTTCTCCGCGGTGTTCCACGTCACCAGCCGTATCTTCTCGCGCGTCGCTCTCGGTAACGTCTGCCGAATCGCCGCCCACGCGGCTTTGAACTTAAACGTCGCGTTGACCAACCACATGCAGAACAACGCGTCCGGGTACCGCTCGTTGCATCGCTTGACGTACTCCGTGAACGGCGACCGCACGCCGCCGGTGAAGTAGCTCGCTTTCACCCCGGCGAGGTCGACGACGTGGATGTGGCGATACACCGAGGGGTTCGCGCAGTGCGACTTGTACGAAGGGAAATCCGCGCGCGCGCGACCGAGCGACTCCGCCGCGGCTTCTCGCCGCTTCAAAACCGCCATCGCCTCGTGCACTCGCGCGCGGTGTCGGAACACCTCCTCGAGCTCCATGCCGTCCCTGAGCGCTCTGTGGTTTATGTCCGCCAGGCGCTCCGCGAACACGAGGTGCCCGAACTTATCGCTCCCGTGCACGGTCATCGGCCAACTTCGGTGAAAGACGCGCGCGTTCGGGAGTTTCTCCGCGAGGATGCCGTCGATGTTTTCGCTTCGCCTCCACTCCCTGACGCGGTCCAGATGCTCGATCGCGGCCTCGGCTTTCTTCTCGATCGTCGCGGACGCGGACGCGGAGACGCACGCGGCGCGAACGACCCGCTGCGCGAGCTCAGGGTCGTTGCCGAGGCGTTCCGTGGCGTACTTTTTGCTCATCATCGCGAGCACCGCGAGGCCCTCCTCGTCCAGGCCGTCTCTCTCCTCGAGGATGGACGCCTCGAGACGGCGGATGAACGCGCCCATGCGCGATTTGTCCGCCTTCTCCTCCGGCTCATCGTCCGCGACGGGCGGCTCCGCGGCCGCTTTGTCCGCCTTGTCCGCTTTCGCCGCGGCCTTCGCTTCCTTCCTCGCCGCCCACTTCGCCTTGACGGCCTTCATCGCCATCTGTTCGATCGATGTCAACGAGGACTGAACGAACGACGACGTGAGGATGAGGTCGCGCGCGGGGCCTCGGTATCGGCGCGCGTTCGCGCGACCGCCGCGCGCGCGCGCTCGACGACGCGTTCGCGAGGCGCGCTCGAGGGAGCGAACGGCGTCGGACGCGCCGGGTCCCCGGTCGCGCTCGCGGATCTGCGCAACACCGAGGAGCTGAGCTTTCGTCGTCGAAATAAACGCGCTCGAGACGAAAACGCCCCAATCAGATCTCGCGGCGCGGACCGCCATGGGCCGCAAGAAGGGGTCGAAGAACAAGCCAAAGTCGACCTCCGCGCCCGTCGTCGACCTCACCGCCGCGGATGATGACGACGGCCCGCTCGCGTCGCTCGCTGTCGTCGACTTGACGCGAGCTGACGACGACGCGCCGACGCCAGCTGTGTTGACGAATGCGAACGCGAATGCGAATGCGAAGAAGCGGAAACGCGCAAACGCGCCCGCGCCGACCGCGTCGATCGCCGCGGCGTCGCCTCCCCCGCGACCGATGCAACGACCCGAACGCGCGGACGAATCGCTCGCGGAGACGACGACGACGACGACGACGATTCGACTCGACGACGACGACGACGACGAGCTCGCGTCCGTCGTCTGCTTCGGCGCGATGGCTTCCGCGATCGTGGGGATCCAGTACTACAACGGCATCGTGTCGCGCAAAGAGCAGGTCACGCTGCATCGCGAGCCGCGGAACCAGTACGACCGGAACGCGCTGCGAGTGGACAACGTCCGACGCGAGCAAGTCGGGCACATCCCGCGCGACGTCGCGGCGCATCTCTCGCCTCTGATCGACGCGAAGAAAATCCATCACGTCGTCGGCGTGGTCACGTCCGGCACGAACAACCGGTACAGGATGCCGGTGTCGGTGTTCTTGTACGGGCGCGAGAGCGACAGGGCGCACGTCACGCAGCGGCTGCGCAACGGAGGGGTGCGTCTCGGTCTCGCGGACGGCGTCGCGTCGAAAGTGATCGAGGAGAACCCGCCGGGGTGCCTCTCTCAGAGCGACCGCGAGGACGCGCTCGACGCGTTGTTCGACCGCTTGGAGAAGCAGAAGCTCGTCAAGGCGACGATGGAGCCGTCCGCGGTCGTCACGAGCCCGATGTACGCGCATCAGAAGGAAGCGCTCGCGTGGCTGGTGAGCAGAGAGAACGCGAACGCGTTGCCGCCGTTCTGGACGTGCGACGCGGCGGCGGCGGCGGCGGGGGGCGGGGGCGGATCGAGGACGGTGTACGAGAACATTCTGAGCAATCACAAGACGACGACGCGGCCAGAGTGCTGCCGCGGGGGGATCCTGGCGGACGACATGGGGTTGGGGAAGACTCTGGAGATCATCGCGCTGATTGCGACAAACAGACCGGGGTGCTCGCCGTCGACGAACGCCGCCGCCGGCGCGGGCGCGGGCGAGGCCGCCGCCGCCGCCGCGACGGCGACGGCGCCGCCGCCGGCGAAGAAGAAAAAAAACACCAAAACGGCGGGCGGGACCGTCCTCGCGACGTCTCAGGACGCGATCGGGAGGACGTTCTCCCTCCCGAAAGCGGACGGCCCGAAGACGACGCTCGTCGTGTGCCCGCTCTCGGTCCTCTCCAACTGGGAGAAACAGCTCGAAGACCACACGGACGGGTCGCTCACCTCGTATCGCCACCACGGGTCCGACCGCTCGCTCGACGCGGCGCACCTCGAAAGACACGACGTCGTCATCACGACGTACGGAACGCTCGCGTCGGACATCGACGGCGTTCTCGGCCGCGCGCGATTCCTCCGCGTCGTGTTGGACGAAGCGCACAACGTGAAAAATCCGCGCGCGACGCAGACGCTCGCGGCGTACAAGGTCAAGGCGGATCGACGTTGGGCGATCACGGGGACGCCGATCCAAAACAGGCTCTCCGATCTGCACTCGCTGCTCGCGTTCGTCCGCCTCGCGCCGCTGGACGACCGGCAGTTTTGGATGCGGAACGTCGAGAAGCCGGTCAAGATCGGCGACCCGCGCGGGTTCGATCGGCTCGTCACCACCGTCGCCGCGATGGCGTTGCGGCGGACGAAGGACCAACGCGACGAGCGCGGGGAGCCGATCGTCCACCTCCCGAAAAAGACGGTCGTCGTGCAGAGGGTCGATCTCGACGCGGCGGACATGATGCGGTACCGCGCTCGGCTCGCGGCAGCGCAGGACACGATCGGCGCGATGCTCGAAGACGGGTCCGTATTCCGCGATTACGCCACCGCTTTGGAGCTCATCCTGAGGCTCCGCCAACTGTGCTGCCACGGCGACTTGGTCCCCGCGGAGAGCTCCGCGGCGTCCGCGGCGCCCGCCGCGGCGCTGACCGAAGACGCGCTGAAACGACTCCTCGACGTCCTGAAACTCGGCGGCCTGGACGACTGCTGCATCTGTTTAAACACGATGCACGCGCCGGTCGTCACGCGGTGCGCGCACGTGTTCTGCCGGGGGTGCCTCGCGCCGGCGTTGGAGCGCAAGGCGACGTGTCCGCTCTGCCGCGCGCCGTGCGCCGCGAGGGACCTCGTCGAGGCGCCCGCGGACGAGACCGAGGACGGGACGACGACGACGACGACGACGCGACCGAGCGCGAAGGTGACCGCGCTCGTCGACCGCCTCCGCGCGGACCTCGGGGGCGAGCCGGGCGCCAAAGCCGTCGTCTTCAGCCAGTTCGTCGCCTTCCTCGACATCGCGCGAGACGCGTGCGCGGCGGCGGGGTTCAAGACGTGCCGCATCACCGGCGCCGTCCCCGTCGCCGAGCGCGAGCGCGTCATCCGGTCGTTCCAATCGAACGCTTCGGACGCGCCCGACGTCGTCTTCGTCTCGCTGAAAGCGGGCGGCGTTGGCATCAACCTCACCGCCGCGTCCAAGGTGTACATGCTCGACCCGTGGTGGAACCCCGCGGTGGAGGAGCAGGCGATGGACAGGGTGCATCGGCTCGGGCAGACGAAGGACGTGACCGTCGTTCGATTCGCGGCGACGGACACGATCGAGGAGAAGATGCTCGAGCTGCAGCGACGGAAGAGGGAGCTCGCGCGGGCGGCGTTTGAGAAAAAGACGGAGGCGGAGCGACGCGCGATGAGACGGTCGGATCTCTCGCTGTTACTGAGCATCAACTCGCTGCGAACGACGACGACGACGTGAGAACAACGCGACGACGACGACGACGACGCGAGAACAACGCGACGACGACGACGACGATGACGCGAGAACACCACGACTCCGCGGGAGCCGCGCGACGTACGACTATACAGTGTCTAAGACACGATGTGCGAAGGTATGAGTTTCTACGAGGACACGTGAGGGGCACGGCGTCGGCGCGCGCGTCCCGCGTCCGGCGACGACGATCGCTCGAGTCGCACCCCGCGCGCGAAGCTTCGCGCGCGCTTCGGGCGCGACCGTCATCTTCACTCGTCGTCTCGCCGGCGCGTTCGCGACGCGCTCTCTCCGGTCCCCTCTTCTCCGCCCCGATCCGATTTCGCGCGCGCTATGAAACTACGTCGTGTACGGTGCCATCACTCGCGTCCCCGAGCGCGGCCTCGACGTCCGCCGCGAGCGCGCGCGAATCGAACGCGCCGCCGTATCTCTTCAACACCGTCCCGTCCCGGCCGACTAAAAACTTTTCCCAGTTCCACCGCACGTCCTCGCCGTCGGCGTTCTCCTTCAAGTACGTCCACACCGGCGACGCGTTCGCGCCGTTCACGTCCGTCTTATGGAACAGCGTCCCCTCGAATCCGTGCTCGTCGTTGAACTCTCTGATCTGTCGCATGTCCCCCGGTTCCTGCCCGCCGAACTGGTCGCACGGAAACGCGAGGACTCTGAGCTTTTTATCGAAGCGCCGCGTCAGCGCCGCGAACCCGGCGTGGTTCGCGGCGGCGTGTCCTCACTGACTCGCGACGTTGACGAAGATACTGACGTGCCCGGCGAGGAAGCTCAGCTTCGTGTCCACGCCGTGCTCGTTCATCGCGCTCAGGCCGTAGACGCCGGCCGCCGCTGTCTCACCGGCGGACGTCATCGACGCCGCCGGCGCCGATGCGTCTTCTTCGTCGCGCGCCGACGCCGAGGACGACGACGCCTCGAGCCTTCTCGCGTCGTCGCCCCCGGTCGCTCTCGCGTAGACCGCGCCGAGATCGTCGTCGCCGCCGCCCGCGGCGGTCGCGCTGCGATCGTTCGTCTCGTCCGCGCTCGCGAATACCTTTCCGATCGGTCGCTCGAGCGCCCCCGCGGTTCGCGTCGGCGAGACGGCCTCGGCGAGACGTCGGACGCCCCCGCCGCGCGTGTTCGGCGACGTCGACAGCGTCACGGTCAGCACGAGGACGACCGCGAAGACGCCGAGGTACTTCACCATCGTCGCCTTCGTGCGCGCGGGGGCGACCGCACCCTTCGGGTTGTCGCTCCCCATCCCCGGCGCCCGCGCGAGTGGACGAGGCCGCGTCCGATCGGTCCCGTCGGCGACGGTTCGGCGATGAGGTGAGTTGAGTGGGTCTGCTGTGTGAGTGGACGGGCACGTGGACGCCGACCGCGACCGCGACCTGCCGACCGACAGCCAGCGCCGAGTTCAAACAAGTTCGAATCCGACACGTGCGGATCCGACAGATCGAACGCACGTCGCGCGCCGTCTCGTCTGTCATGACCGCGAGGATCGACGCCACGCCACCGGTCGTCACCCCGCTCGCGAACGCGAAGGTTCTCGCCGCGATCGCGCCCGCGGACGCGAACGTTCTCGTCCCGTCCGAGAAGACGCCGACGACGAAAAAACCAAAACCCATCGCGGACGTCGTCGTCGCGCCGTCGCCCTCGATGTCGCCGTCCCCCGCCGCGCTGTGCACGAACCCGAAGTCCCCGGAGCAGGCGATCGTCGCGCGTCTGATGAAGGAACAACAGTCGAAGATGATGCGCGGTCGCGTCGCCTGCGCGGCGCCCGCGCCGCCGCCGCCGATTCCGCCGGTCGCGTCCGCGCCTCCGCCCGCGTCTCTCGCGAGCGCGCGCGCGTGCGCGACGACGACGACGACGCCAAAGTCGAGCGCGTGGTGGACCACAGATCCCGCGCTCAGGGCGCTCACGGACCGAGGCGAAGGCGAGCGCCTCGACGTCGTGTGGGTGAAGCTGAAGGGCTACCCGTGGTGGCCCGCGCAGATGGTCCCGACCGCGCACCACGACCGCGTCCCGCCCGGATGCAAGAAGCCCGCGGGCGATGCGACGCGCGCGTATCAGTTTTTTGGCACGTCGGAGTACCAGTGGATCGACGCGGGGAAGAAACCTAACGCGGTCGTCGTCGAGGGCTGGGCGCTGGGGTGGCAGCACGGGCACTGGGCGGTGTCGAAGCGGAAGGGGATCATGTCCGCGATCGAGGCGGCGTGCGCGTTCGTCAAGGACCCCACCGCGCGGCCGGTGGGGTGGTACGATTACGTCGCGCCGCCGACGCCGCCGCCGTCGCCGCCGCCGCCGAAAGCGCCGAAAGCGCCGAAGAAGAGAACGGCTTCGACGCCGAAGAAGGCGCCGCCGGCGAAGAAACAGAAACAGAAGCCGCCGCCGCCGGCGAAGATAGAGAAGCCGCCGACGCCGGCGAAGAAAGAGAAGCCGCCGACGAAGAAGGAACTGAGGGCGATCGCGAAAGCGGAGGCGGAGGCGGCGAAGCAGGCTGCGTTGGACGCCATGCCGAAGGTGAAGTATCCGAAGCTGACGGCGTTGACGGCCTATCCGACGAGCGACGACTTCGCCGCCGCGGTTAAGAGCACCCTCGGCGTGGACGAGTTCAAGCTCCCGTTCGAGGTCAGAGCGCTCGGGAAGCCGCCGACGTTCGAGATGCTCCGCCGGTGCCAGTGGATCTGCCAGGCGCCGCCGCGTTTGATCCCAAAAGAAGAAGCCGAGCCGTGCATGTGCGTCGCATCGCCGGCGGCGCAAGTCGCGATGGCGATCCAACGCGACGCCGAGCGCGCGGAGAAGGCTGCGAAGAAGGAAGCCGCCGCGGAGAAAGCCGCCGCGGAGGCGGAAGGTCGCGACGCCGCGGCTGGCGCGGCGACCGCGCCCGCGCCCGCGAACGCCGCGACGGAACCCAAGACCCCCGCGGCGGCGGTCCCGAGGCTCGGATGTGGCGAGGAGTGTTTCAACCGGACGTGCCACACGACGTGCGACCCGCGCGTGTGCCCGTGCGGGCCCTCGTGCAGCAACCGCCCGTTCCACCTGTTGTCCATACCGAAGAACAAGATCATGCTCACGGAGCACCGCGGGTGGGGGTTGTTCGCCGCGGAGAACGTCCCGAAAGGACGGTTCATCGTGGAGTACACCGGCGAGATCATCGACGAGAAGACGTGCGAGGAGAGGCTGTGGGAGGATAAAAAACGCGGCGAGGACAACTTTTACCTCATGGAAGTCGGCCCGCACCAGGTCATCGACGCGCGTCTCAAGGGTAACTTGTCCCGGTTTATTAACTCGTCGTGCCACCCGAACTGCGAGACGCAAAAGTGGCAAGACGCGAGCACGGGGGAGACGCGCGTGGGGATCTTCGCGATCGAGGACATCCCGGAAGGGACGGAGTTTACGTACGATTACAACTTCGCACACTTTGGCGGCGAAGGCACGACGTCGTTCCAGTGCATGTGCGGGCATCCTTTATGCCGCGGCACCCTGGACGCGAACCCGGAGCGCACGCGGAACTACGGCCGAAGGATCGAGATCGCGTGGGATGCCCCCGACGGCGGGAAGACGTTCTACCCCGGCGTCGTGCTGTCGTACACGAACACGACGATGAAGTACAAAGTTTTATACGACAGCGGCGAGGTCGAGAGCGTGAAGCTGGAAGGCGCGAACGCGCCGGAGCACCGGTGGTTGTCGCCGCCGACGACGGCGCAGCCGGAGAAGAAAACCGCCGTCGCCGAGGTAGCGACGAAGGGGAAGAAGAACGGGAAGAAGGGAGGGAGCAAAAAAGCCGCCGCGGGCGCTGGCGGGAAGACGAGCGAACCGCTCAAAGTGGCCGCGGGCGGCGTGGAGAAGAAGGAGAAGAAGGCGCCTGGGACGCCGAAGAAGGAGGCGCCGAAGACGGCCGCGGAGTTTGTCGCCGCCGCGGAGGCGGCGGCGAACCGCGCGCAGGCTGCGCTCGCGGCGGTGACGTGCGAGGAGAAAGTGAAGCTGATACTCGAGGACGCGCGAAAGCCCTCGGCGACGACGACGGTCGGGAGGTTTCTGAAAACCGCAGAGCGGTTGAAGATCAAAGCGGAACAGATGGTCGCGAAAGAGAAGGCGGCGTGATCTACGCTATGACAGAACACCGCGAAAATGCATAGTGCGTGTATCGTTTACAATATTATTTCGTTTTGGTCGTTCGCGTCGTCAATCGAGGTGGGCTCGACGCGTCGCCGTCGCGACGGCGACGGTCCCCCCTCGGCGACGGCGCTCAGTAGAACTGCACGACCGGGGTCTCGTCCGCGTCGCCGCCGTCCGGCCCGCACACGACGACGATGTTCCCCGTGCCTTCCTCCAGGTTCCACTTCCCGGACATCAACCCCATCTCCCGCGCTTTTTTCGCCGCGATCGAGTCCCGTCCCGCGGTCCACTGCTCCGCGGATAAATCCTCGACGAGCATCGGATACTGCGCGTACTTCGCGCCCGTCTGTCGCGCGACCGCCGCGTCCGCGGTCACGACGAGCACCGGGACCGGGGGCTGGTACTTGCTGATCGCCCGAGACGCGACGCCGCCGGCGGAGACGACGATGATGAGCTCCGCGCGCGCGTCGATCGCCCCGGCGGAGGCGTCGGACGCCGCGGATTCCATCGTCGTAAACGGGCGCTTCGTGAAGTCGCGAAGGAACGACACCGTCGCGCGCGTCGTCTTCGCGAGCTCCGCGTTCGCGGTGATCGCCGCCATCGTCTCGACAGCCTTGTCCGGGAACGCGCCGTTCGCGGTCTCGCCCGAGAGCATCGTCGCGTCCGCGCCGTCGAACACCGCGTTTGCGACGTCGGTCATCTCCGCTCTCGTCGGGAGCGGGTTCGTGCACATGGACTCGAGCATCTGCGTCGCGCAGATGACGAACCGCCCGGCGACGTTCGCTTTCGTGATGAGCATCTTCTGCGCGAGGGCAACCTTCTCGGACGGGATCTCCATGCCGAGGTCGCCGCGCGCGACCATGATGCCGTCGGTGTACGTCAGGATGTCGTCGATGTTCGCGAGACCTTCTTCGTTTTCAATCTTGCAGATGATCTGGACGTGTTGCCCACCGGCGTCGTCCAGCGTCTTGCGAATGAGCTGCACGTCCTCGCCGGTTTGCACGAACGACGCGGCGATGTAGTCCATCTTGTTCTTGCAGCAGAAGTTCTGCACGTCGTCGATGTCCTTCGCCGTGAGCACCGGGATGTCCACCTTGACGCCGGGGAGGTTGCAGTTTTTGCGCTCGCCGAGCTTCTTCGTGTTCATCACCGTGCCCTTGAGCACGGTGTCGGACTCGATGGAGTCGACGCGAATAGAGATAGAGCCGTCCGCGATGAGGATCGTGTTTCCAGCGTGCACGCTCTGGCACAGCCGCGCGTAAGACAGCCCGATGCGCGTCTCCTCGTCCGTCTTGTACCCCTCGAACTCGGTGTACTTGTCCCCGACGGCCTCGACGGTGATGGGCTGGCCAGCCTCGAGAACGATCGGCTCGTGGTCTTTCAGCATCGCGGTGCGAATCTCCGGGCCTTTCGTGTCCAGAAGCATCGCGCACGTCGCGCCCTTCTCCTCTACAACCTTGCGCACGCGGTCGAGCACCTCCTGATGCCCGGCGTGGTCGCCGTGCGAAAAGTTGAACCGCGCCGTCGTCATCCCGGCGTCCAACAATTTCGCGACGGTCTCCTCGCCCCAGCACTGCGGCCCCATCGTGCACACGATCTTCGTCTTCCGCACCGGGTGCACCGGGGACAGGATCTCGTCCAGAGACACCGCGGTCGCGCGAAGCGACGTCGTCTTCGTCTCGGACACGCGGCCGATGACCGGCGGGACGTATACCCCCGGCGCGCGCGTGAGACCAAACTTTGGAATCGTTCGCTTATCCCGCGCCGAGGTGCCGCTGATGACGGCGACCGGCGTCCCCGGCTTGGCGAGGCCCTCGTCCACGGCAAACTTCAGCGCGTCCGCGAGGATGCCGCTCTCCGTCTCCGGCGTCCCGGGCTCGGAGATGAGGTACGCGTACTGACCGTACTCCGCGTTCGTGTGCACAGCGGACGCCGCGGAGGACGTCACGACGACGATGGGCACAGCCGGACGGTACTTTGACACGAGGTTGCCTCGGAACCCGCCTCGCGAGAAGCACACGATGCAGGAGATCTCCGGGATGTCGATGCACACTTTCGCGGCGCAGGACGTTACGGCTTCGATGGAGGACACCGGCGCGGGGGTGAAGTCGCGGATGAAGTTCCAGACTTGGGTTCTGTTGACGCCTTCCTCCGCGTTGCGGACGATCGCCGCCATCGTCGCGACAGCCTTGTCCGGGAACGCGCCGTTCGCGGTCTCGCCCGAGAGCATCGTCGCGTCCGCGCCGTCGAACACCGCGTTCGCGACGTCGGTCATCTCACCGCGCGTGGGAAGCGGGTTCTCGCACATGGACTCGAGCATCTGCGTCGCGCAGATGACGAACTTGCCCGCGATGTTACACTTCGTGATCATCATCTTCTGCGCGAGGGCAACCTTCTCGGAGGGGATCTCCATGCCGAGGTCGCCTCTCGCGACCATGATGCCGTCGGTGTACTTCAGGATGTCGTCGAAGTTGCGCATGCCCTCTTCGTTCTCGATCTTGCAGATGATCTGGACGTTCTCGCCGCCGTTCTCGTCGAGGATGGAGCGAACGTACTTGACGTCCTCGCCGGTTTGCACGAAGGAAACCGCGACGTAGTCCATCTTGTTCTTGCAGCAGAAGTTCTTGATGTCGTCGACGTCCTTCGGTTGCAGGACGTCGAGATCGACCTTGACGCCGGGGAGGTTCCCGTTCTTGCGCTCGCCGAGCTTCTTGTTGTTGAGAACCTTCCCCTTGAGGTTCCTCTCGTCGAGAATCTCGGTCACCTCGATCACGACGGAGCCGTCCGCGAAAAGTAGCTTATTTCCTGGGTGCACACTCTCGCACAGCTTGGCGTACGAGCACCCGATCTTCGTCTCCGTCTCGTTCTTGTACCCCTCGTACGTGAGGTACTCCTCCGGGCCGGCGGCGTAGACGATGATGTCCTGCCCGGCCTCGAGCTCGATCGGCTCGTGGTCTTTCAGCATCGCGGTGCGAATCTCTGGGCCTTTCGTGTCGAGAAGCACGCCGCAGTTCGTGCCCTTCTCTTTGTTCACCTTCCGAAGCG